CTGCATCACCCATCTGCTCCATCTCCCCAGGAGCTCAGAGTTTCAGTCCTCCCCACAGAAACTACATCCCAAAGATTGCACAGGGTGCAGGAAAGCCACAGAGAGGCCACTCTGAGCAGGATCTGAAGGCAGACAACTTTAAAAGAGGGATGCACAAGAAAGAGAAAGATGGTGCAGAAAATAAAAAATGTCCCCTGAGTGGCACTGCTAGTGGCTCAGCATTATGATATTAAAAATTATTGAAGTGAGACTAAGGCTCTCAACATGCAGAGTAGTGGCTGTAAGTGAGGAAATTAGGACTATTAATCACTCAAAGGCGTTAACAATTCCAGCAGGCCAGGATGGCCCTGTTCCCAGTGGGGCTTAATAAAATACTCAGGGTTTGTAATACTAAAATAATATCTCAGATGTTTATAGCACCTTGCAGCCCAAAGTGCTTGGCAGTTGGCTGTAAATTGTCTGCCATGGCAGGGAGAGCACAGGAAGGAAGGTGCAGCATCCCTGGAAGTATGCAAAGAACTCGGGGAGGTGAAATGCTGCCAGGCATGATGGAATTTGCTCTTTAGCAGGCAAAGAGGGATGTTGGATTTGATCCTATCTGCACAAGCTGTCTCCAATAGCTGCCTAGGGCTTTCCAGCCTCCCTCCAAAATACAATTTCATGAGGATCCAGTGGGATGGGAGGACACCAGAAGCCAGGGTAGTTACAGAGCAATGGGGAACTGAATCACTCTTCCCAGGGGATGGACTCCAACAGCCTCTGGTGCCACCAAGAAGCCAAACCATGTTCTCTTCTCAGCCTCAGAGCTCTCAGCAGACCCCAGAGACCGTCCAGAACCCCTGGGAGCAGCTGGGGGTAAAGCTGTGACAGTGGTTTTAGTTAAGCTTAGCTTCTATTAATCTAATTTAAAACTGCGCCTTTAATGGTATTGGTGCAACCCGCAATAGGAATTTATGACATTTCAAGCAGCTGTTTTAATTCAGAGCACTAAAATGTAGATTTATCTGAGAATGGCAATTCCAAAGATTTCCCTATTAAAATCTTGTTCAAATAGGTTTTCCAATGCCTTATGAAATGGCAAAAAATCAAGTCTTAGCTAAAGCAATGTCTAGTACAAATTTCATTGAATTAGGGCACCCACTTTGCAGGAGCACCTTGGTATTATGGAAGAGCGACAGGACAGTTTCCGATTCCATGTAATTTTATGAATTCCCATTAAATTGATTTCTTTATTTCAAAACCCTGTTTTCCAAGAGACTCTTCCCAGTGATCTCTGGGGAGGAGCTGTGCATTCTGTCACCTGAGCAGGGGGCAGAGGCAGCACAAGGAGCTGAGGGCTGGTGTGGGAAGCACAGGAGCCGGACACAGAGCCCGGCCATGGAGGGGCTAGCCCAGCCTGCGCGCCACCAGCTAAAGAGATGCGTCTGCCTCTGATTTGCATGTTTATCTTAGAAGCAATTTAGGTTTCTCCTTGTTTACAAGAGCCAAAGTCAGCAGACTCTCCACAAGAACAACAGCTTGGAGGCAGCATGTGACGGGAGTCTCCTGTTCCACTCGCGGATTGGGATGGGCTCTGCATGCAGCTGCATCTCTGCATGCAGCCCTGCAGCTCGCAGGGAGGGACAGGAGCCTTCACCCCGCAGGCTACACAAGCACCTGCCGTGGAAGATAAGGTCTCCATGCTCAGCTGCCTTTGCTGCCCTGTGAGCAGCAGGGAAGGGACAGCGGGAGGGATGGCGCAGGTCCCGCAGCACGGCCCCGCCCACCAGATCCAGGGAAAATGGGAAATGCAACTTGGAAAAGCTTGGAATGGCACACTGATGGGCAGGAGGTGACCCTGCAGCACTCCTGATTGCACCATGCAGCCCAGGGTGGTCAGAGGGGTTGTGCCAGCCCCTTTGTACCCAAGCTGGGCAAACAGCTCTGCGCTTGGCAAAGGGCGATGCCAGGGCTTCACACACCCTCAGGAGGCAGCAGCATATGGAATCCTGTTGGACAGGGTGGGGGATTGTTATCCCCACATGCACTTAATTTTCCACTCCCTCCTTCCCTGCCTCCCAGCTCCTTCTCACGGCAGGCTGTCCAGCTCCTGCCTCTCCCCTCCCAGCCCTGAAGTCCAGGCCTGAGTAGCCTCCAGCATGAGGAGTAGTTATCTCTCACAGACTTTTCTGAACTCAGGGCTTGGGTTTTGTGGGTTTTTTCAACTACAAAAATGCAGATTACCCCAGAGTACAGCACTGCAGCAGTGTGCCACTTCCAGCACAGCTTCGTTTGATTGAAAACAAAGTTCTGATAAGGCAGCTGGGGACTTCTCGGAACATCCATTGTGTTTCTCATTGCAGTATTTTTAAAATGTCACAGATTTTGAGAAATAAAATTAGAAGGGATGCTTTCATCTGTCCAAAACAAATGTTTGGGTTTTTTCCCTCCCAAAACTCTGCTTGGCAGAATTTTCTGCTGTTCCTCGTCTTGCTCCATTTCAGAGTAACTGAACTCTACTGGAGCATTTCTCACCAAGTGGAAGCTCTCGTCTTTGCCGAGACAAGCGCAGCCTTTCCAGGTCATGGGAGGAATTTTCCCTTTGGTTGTGTGTTAGATTTCAGCACATGAACTCTGATGGAGGCCTGTAGGTGCTGTGTAAATGTGCTGCCACAGGCAAAGGGAGATGCACCACTGGCCCTTGTGGGATGCACATGGCGAGCTGCTACTGCAGCAGTTGGTGCCCTGCGCTCTGCTCTCCCTCCACTTTCTCCTGCTGATAATGTTTGCTCTGATCTGGGTATTTGGCAGGAGAATTAAGGAGAAGTAATTAGCTTCCAGTGTGAAAAAGGGAGTGCCTGGTGTTTATCTTGTCTGGAGGGTTTCCCTTGATCTCGGTCTCCCAGGGGATGGTGTGAGTGCTTTATCCATCACTCTCCGGTCCGGGAGGCAGCTGCTGTGTCCCAGCCCACTCTCAGCCCTCAGCTGGGACTGGAGACCAGTGCTCCAGCCCCACAAGGTCCCTGGTGAGGGGCCCATCACAGAACATTTTACCTTTCTCAGCATCACTTTTCTCCAGCAAAGAGGAGCTTGGCTACTTCTGAACTTCCATCGTGCAGCCTGCTGCCTCCCAGCATCTCATCACTGCCTTGCCAGCGCAGGCAGGGGTAAGCCAGCCATCCCCATCCCTGCTGGGCAGGATGAATTCAGGGCTGGGGAGCTGACCATGCCCTGGGGAAAGAATTCTGCAGTCCCACTCGATGTCACCGTGCCACCATCCAGCTGGTGGCATGCTCCTCTGCCCTGTCCCCATGGGAAGGAAGGGGCTGCTCTCAGCCTGGCACGAGCAAGGCACTGAAGCATCCCCAGTCAGCAGTGCTTGAGGAGCTCCTGTTGGTTTTTCTTTCCCAAACAGCTTCTGCCACTCCCCTGTTGCTCTGCCTCAGGATGAGAGGCTGGTGAGCATGCTTGTGACAATAAAGCTCACTGCCCCTTGGAGTCTGGCTTTGCAAAGCCATGGGGAGCTGGGTTTATTATCCTCAGCTCCAGCCCGGGATGACCTTGTGCTTCTGCCAGCATTTAAACAAAATATTTTAAAAGAGGGAGCAGATCCCATTGCTTTCTGTGCTTGCAGGGCTTTCCTGAGCCTGGGAGCTCTCTCTGGGGTGGATAGAACTGAGAGAACATGTCCAGAGACAGACAATGAAATATTGTCCAAGCTTATTGCTTTTTATTATTATTGAAGGAAGGTTTTTGCTTCCAGTCTGAGGGTTAGAAAAAATCTGAATATCACCCAAACCTCATCCCTTCCAGCCAGAATCCCAGCTCTGCGCTCTGCAGCAGAAATCATCCTCAAGCACAAGCAGCCAGAGGGGTGAGCGGGTGGTGCAGGCAGGAGCCGACCGGGATGGAAAATTCCACATTGCTGCCATTGTCGGGATGGGGAGAGTGCGGGGCAGAGCTCGGGTCCCTCCCCCGTGGCTGTGGAAAGCTGCCCATGGGCTCAGCCAGGCTCCGGCAGGCGGCTCTTTGTGCTTTGTCTGTCTGTCTGTCTGTCTGCTCCGAGTCCTGCTCTCTCCCCACAGCTGCGGGACACAGGTGGGATGCAGGCAAGGTGGGAGCCACAGCAGAGTTCTGCCAGTTATGGAGCTTCAGGGCACAAGACTGAATGTCCAGGAGATGCACAGAGAGAAATGGACAGCTGGGGGATAACTGTGTGTGAGGAGCGCAGCACCAACGGGTGCAGCCTGCTCCTCTTCCTCCCTCACCTGCGCATCCGCAGGTGTCTGTGCCATGGACATTCCTGACAAATGCAGGCAGGAGAAAGGGCAGAGGCTGCAGGAGCCCCCCTGGGCTCAGCTGGGCTCCATCCTGCTGTGCTCAGCAAGGCTGGGCGACAGCACGGGGCTGGCATGTTGGGAAGAGGCTGGGAGGGAGATTTTGCACATCAGCAAGTTCTCTGCTGCTGCCCCAGGAGCTGACACAGGCCAGGCTTATGGGAGGCATCCGTGACTCACAGCACCCAGAGCTGGCTGTCTGCGGGGGGAGATGGGCTCCACAGACTCCCTGCTCCTTCCTGCAGTGATGCACACACTGAGAAAAGCTCTGCTTGCCCCTGGCTCATGCATCTCGGGATTACTTTATTAAACAAAAAGACTCATTGGGGTAGTGGAGGGGCAACTCTGATCTCTGCTCTCGGTGACCAGGGACAGGAACCAAGGCAATGCCTGGAGCTGTGTCAGGGGAGGTTTAGCCTGGATATCAGGACAAGGTTCTTCCAGAAGGTGGTGGGGCACTGAAGGGGCTCCCCGGTGCAGTAGTCGTGGCCCTAAGGCTGCCAGAGCTCAAGAAGCGTTTAGCCAATGCTCTCAGTCACAGGGTGGGATTTTGGGGGTGTCCTGTGCAGGACCAGGAGTTGGACTGGATGATCCTTGTGGGTCCCATTCCACTGAGGGCATTCAGTGATGCTGGGACTGCCCTGTGCAGGCAGGGCAGTAACGTGGCACCCTTCTCTCCCGCAGGTACATCGGGGCACTGGGCGCGAGGGTGATCTGTGACAACATCCCCGGGCTGGTGAACAAGCAGCGGCAGCTCTGCCAGAGGTACCCTGACATCATGCAGTCGGTCGGGGAGGGAGCCAAGGAGTGGATTCGAGAGTGCCAGCACCAATTCCGGCACCACCGCTGGAACTGCAGCACCCTGGACCGCGACCACACCGTCTTCGGCCGGGTCATGCTGAGAAGTAGGTCCTGCCCTGTCCCCTTCCCACCACCCTGGGACTTCCCTTCCTGAGAGTCTCTCCTCCCCCTGGGCTGCCATGCCCGGTGGCTTGGATTACTCCCTGAGGAGAGCTTTGCCTTTCCTTGTAAATTAATCAAGTCGTAATGGGAGCGGAGCAGTGCGTTTGGAATAGCTGCACCAGATGAGATGGAGCAGGGGGAGCACTGGGGGAGAAGGGGGAAGGAGGAGACACCTCCGGAGAACAGGCGCATATGTAAACAGTAATGGGATATATAAATATTTGGAGAGCGGGGTTGGCCAGGACTCAGCAATTCACGTGGGAACTGGCTGTTCCCTCGCATGGCAAGGGAGGCAAGGCACAGATGCAGCTCCAGTCCCTGCTCCAGGCTCTGAGGTGGAGGAGGACCATGGCTGCGGGGCAGGTGCCAGCCCTGCACAAAGGACTGGGAGAGAACTTCCCCCTCCAGGTGAGAGACAGATACAACACAAGCAGGGATGCACCCAGGAAAGGTACCCAAGGAACAGAGAGGAAAGGCACGATGGGGACAGGGTGGGGCGGTTCCAGAGCAGGAGCAGCACCATGGGCTCCAGCTGCCCCAGCAGTGCTCTGGGAGCAAACAGGCCCTGGGAGCCAGCACAAGCCCCAGCACAGGCAGCAGCACTGCAGGACAGATGCTGCTGCATCCCATGACGTGCTGGGAGCATCCAGCCATGTGGCCTGCAAATCAAAAGCGGCTGGAAGAGTCTTTGCACTCACAGCTCGTATGGAGGACATGTGAGTGCCACAGAAGGAGCCAGTGAGTGGGGGGCTTGCCCCTTGCTGGCGGGGGGATGGAGCAGCTGCCCGTGGGGTGGACAAGCAGCAGAGCCACAAGCCAGATGCCTGACCCAACTGGAGGAAGGGGACTGGAATGCTGAATGAAGCTTTCACCCCGCCGTGCTGCAGCCTGCTGCTCAGCCTCTCTGTTCCCATCACAGCACCTTTTCTCCTGCTCGCATCCTGTCCTGGCAAAGGATGGGGAATGATGAAAGCTCCTCGCCACAGCCCCATCCTGCGAGGCCCAAAGAGAGCTCTGCTGCCTTTGAAGTTGCTTTCAAAGGCTCTCGAAATGAAGACTAACATGGTTTTGATTTGCAGCTTCTTTTACAGCATTATAAAACCAGCTGCGAACTTGAACCAGAGACACAGAATAGCAGCAGCAAGCTGTGCTGTGCGGGAGGAGCCGCGCCCGGCCCG